GGCCTCGCTGGTTGCGGCTTCTCACAGGTCTTCATTTATGACAGGTCCCCTTTAGAATGGACGCACGCAGCCTATAATCATTGGCCGCACAACTGATCACAATGCCCGGGGATCAATGTAGGGGCGGCACTGACGTATTCCAGATATTTCTATAGCGGTGCACTTTACATCGGTCCCCGCGCCCCAGGAGCTTACAATCTAGGGCCCCTAGCTCACACATACCAGGGCCCATCCATCCTCCCAGCATGTGTATGGAGTGTTGGAGGAGCCGAGGACGATGCCTCCAAATCTGGGAGATCACATGGGCAGCGATGATTACAGCCAATACCGCCCGTGTGCGTCCAGTCTTAAGGGTCCCTGCCCCGCCCCCCAGCTGTTCAGGGACCGGAAGTCGTATCACCTTGCTGAGAGTTGTAGTCCATCAATAGCCAGAAGGCAGCAGATTGCAAAATTTTTGTACATTAAAATCATCTTTCTGCCGTCGGAAGACGCGGAGAATTCCCAGAGTCCCCCCCCCGCGCTCGCAATCGCATTCCGTCACTAAAAAAGTGTTACTTCATCAGACAGAAAGATCGGCAGATGAGGCCGGAATCCCATCCAGAACAATCTCCCCCCCCCCATCCCCCGCCCTGAATCTTCAGCCGCTACACCGACTCCTAAATCATAATCTAGATAAAAAATAGAAACTAGAGCTCTAGAAATGGCACTTTCTGCGGATCTCCGGCTCGGCGCGGCCATTGTACGCGGATTCTGGGATCGGCCGTCGGGTAGAAATCGTACCGGATCCGTAACAGGAAGTCCACAGGACGGCGTCTGTCAGCTGTGCGCCGCCGCCCAGTAAAAAGTCATTATATGTGCAAATTAGCCCAACGTAACCCCCATCCCCCGACCGCTGCCTCCGCCTCCTCCTCCGCCCCCAGCGTCCTATACAGTTCTCTCGCCATACAACAACAACTCCCATCGGACACTTTCTTAGTAGTTGTCGCTCTCCCCGCTGTAGCCGTTCGAGGTCCCGTTGTAGGATTTTCCCATCATGCTGTACACCTCGTCCATGTTATGGGTGGAGATCGGCTGCCGGTAGAGCGGGTTGGACGCCTGAAACAGGAAATAAAAATCGATTGTTACAATGTAACCGGAGAATTAATCGGCAGGAAAGTAGAGACATCGAGAGATACCGATACCGGCATGGGGACTCGCACTCGTGACCGGGGGCGTAACTGGAAATCACAGGGCCCCATAGCAAAATGTTGTATGGGGGGCCCGTGATTTCTAGTTACACCCACACAGCCCACCTGAGGGTGACCCTGCAGAGCCCACCATAGACTCTCTATGGTGGGCTGGTCACACTCCTTACCTGTCCGCCTCCTCTTCCTCCACGATCGCTTATGGGCCCCTCCACTGCTCCTCCTCCACTGACGGGGCCCCGCCTCCTCCTCCTCCACTGACGGGGCCCCGCCTCCTCCACTGACGGGGCCCCGCCTCCTCCACCGCCGCTGCCTCTCACTGACTCAGCATCGGCTGTGGAGAGGAACAGATCACGGTCAGCGGCTCCTTCCTCTTCACAGCCGCCAGCAGCTTGAGATGCCAGAGCGACCCCGCACGGCATCAAGGATGTCCTGGCCGGGCCCCCCTGTGCCCCCATAGCGGCCGCCTGGGTCGCTATGGCGATTGATACGCCACTGCTCATGACAATGCGCCGATAGTTAATGCCGACACCGGCACTTACATTTTTTTTTAAAAGTGATGCGACTGCCTAGGGTCGCGCGCTTGCCGGGGACTTCAGCACCCTCCCTGTGAACACACACACGAATCCAGACAGGGTGACGTGTAGTGTGATCTGCACACGGAGTATCATAAACAACGCAAGTCTCTCGGCCCGGACTGTACTTGTGGGCCGGAAGTGATGACACCGCACTGCGCTCGTTCACAGGAAAACGCAGCGTATGGAGCCTAAAAGAGGATCTCCGGATATTACAGAAAGGGGCCGGCAGCTTATAATTGGAGGCGGGGTCTTCAGGTTTGGAGTAGATGGCCCCTCCCCTCCCCTCATATTACTCTGAAGGCGGGGGGGGGATAGACAACATGGCCGCAGGACTCACCATTTCATACTTGGCTCTGGAGCGCTCGCTCTGAAAGCGCGCAAACTCGCGCCGATCGTGAACAGTGACGAGAAGCTTCCAGACGGCCAGAAGGACGAGTCCGATCAGCAATATACTTCCCACCACCGCCAGGAGGACGGTCAGGGCGTCCGGAGCCCCCGCGCACTCTGCGGAGGAGAAAAGACGCCGTTTATATAATTCAGCCAATGGAAACGTGAGCTGGAGGCGACACGTCACATGACAACATGGAGGCGGGACAAAGGAAACTCATTGTGACATTAATCTCAACACTGATACATGACCTTGAAGCTGAAGTTTATATTCCCCCTCCCCCCATCAACATGATAATGACATGAAAATAAAACTTTCTATTTTCAATACATACTTTATTTTACACCCTGTGATGTCATCACCGGGCCTCTATGCTTCTCTATGCAATGCAGGCAGATCATGGGGGGGGTTTGGGGAGGGCTGGCATCGGCCTCAGCACTCCTCTCAAGAGCCCTCAGTCCTGATGCAATGCTCGGGTTACATCACAACACGGAGGACGATGACATCATCATACTGACCCGGCTCCTTCAGGACGCTCAGGATGGATTTGCCGTTCGCCTCCTCCGAGTACATGAACCGCATGACACATTCGTTGTCCGTCTTATAGACGCATTGCACGGCCTCCGGCTTGTCAGTCTCTGAGGAGGAAGAGGAAATCAATTACCGACGTTCCACCGTGTACATACAACGTCGGAGGTCAGATAGAAGACTGAAGGGGAGGACGGAGGTCAGATAGAAGACTGAAGGGGAGGACGGGGGTCAGATAGAAGACTGAAGGGGAGGACAGAGGTCAGATAGAAGAGCGAAGGGAAGGACGCAGGTCAGATAGAAGACTGAAGGGGAGGACGGAGGTCAGATAGAAGACTGAAGGGGAGGACGGAGGTCAGATAGAAGATTGAAGGGGAGGACGGAGGTCAGATAGAAGATTAAAGGGGTGGACGGATCAGCTCTGGGGGACTTCAGTAATCTGAGTTGTGATTGGCTGCTGTGGAAGTCTGACTACAGAACATGGCCTCCCCCTCGGCCTCGCTGCGTCTGTCACATGTAAACATTGGCGCGGCGCGCTGTCAGTAAAACACGGCAGAGATTCCTCAGCTGACGGCTTGTTGGATTGCTG